GAAAGTTGAGCAAGTTAAGACAAGCCGATAACCTAATAAGAGAGCCTCCAAGAGTACTCAAGAAATCCAAACCCACCCACACTAGACCCTGTTCGGGACGTGTCAGCCCTCCAAGACTTCTACCAGCGGTCGAGCCTAAAGACCACATAATCAACGCTTTCTTAGAGTTTAAGGCCCTCATAAAAGCAACTCTTGAGGTGAACCAAACTTGCAAGAATATCTTACAAAGTTTCCACCTCGGTAGTCATGAGTTCCTTGGGGTGCAGCTCGAGGAAGCAGAGGCCGCAATTTATGACAACAAAACATCTACTGTCATAAGAGGTAAAATGGGTCATCACATGGCGGCTTATAGCGGGTCAGCGGGCTTCGTAGCCTTGGATGAGGAAGAGACAGAACGACAGGGAAGATTAGTATTCAAAACCCCCCCAACGACCCTATTGTGGTCACCGCCCGTTGTACCAGGGTGATGCTAGAGGACAGGATCCTAAAAATGGCGGAAACTATCTCGGGAGCCTGTGCATTGGGAGATTCTTGGGAAAACTGGACGGTGCCGACGATAAATTGGGTCAATGGAGTCCAGGGATGTGGCAAAACAACTTGGGTTATAAACCAATTCGATGCGGAGGATGATTTGATTGTCACAACAACAACAGAAGCAGCTAAAGATCTTAGAGAAAAAGTTAGCCAACCGCATAGCCACTGACGCAAAAACAAAAGTGCGCACTATGGCCTCAGTTTTAGTAAATGGTATGAGGAGGCAAAAGGGAAGATGTACTCGACTTTTAGTCGACGAAGCTCTCATGAACCATTTCGGGGCCATAGTAATGGCAATGCGACTAAGTGGAGCGGAAAAAATACTGCTTATTGGTGACATCAATCAACTCCCTTATATCGACAGGGAAAACCTCTTTGCGATGCAATATACTCGCCCAAGCCTCGTGACCACTATCAGCCAAGAACTCCTGTGTACGCACCGGAATCCGATGGATGTGGCATATGCCCTGAATGAAATCTACAGTGGCATTTACTCATCCAGATCTCAGGTGCACTCACTAGAAAGGAAGAGGTACACGGGAGTCGTCATACCAGGTACCCTGCCCGACACCTTATATCTTGCATTTACGCAAGCAGAAAAGGAGTCCCTTACCAGCCAGGGATATGGTTCGGGTCCTGGGTCGCGAATTTTAACCGTACATGAGGCCCAAGGTCTCACATACGGGAGAGTGGTCGTAATGAGGACAACAACAGAGAAGCTCAAAATTTATGACAGCGTCCAACACGCAGTAGTGGCAGTGTCCAGGCACACAGAAAGCTGTGTTTATTACACGGACGTTTGCGACGATGCAACTGGGAGGCTGATTGAGAGCGCAATGGCTGCGACAACGAAAAGAATTAAAGAATATAATCTGAAAATGGCAATTAGAAACAGAGACGAAGCTATTGTGGAAGCCCTGTCAACAGATATCACAAACAGTTAAAGATGGAGCACTCTCCACGACATTAAGTACAAGGAAAAGGGAAAAAAAAGGAAAATCTGGTAATATAATAAATTAACATAGCATGTAAGGCCATATACATTAAGTATGTAGATTATGTTGATAACTACATGAGAGAAAAAAAAGAAAAAAAAAAGAGGAAAAAAATATATATAAAAACACAAAGTGAGTCGAAAATTATTATTTTTAATTAAAAAAAAAAAAAAAAAAATGATTCCAAAAAAAAAATATTGCGTGTAAGTGCATGTCGCATGTAAGCATATCAGTTTGTAGATCTTAAGAATGTAAGACAATAGACATAAATAAAAAAAATAAATAAATAAAAATAATAATAATACACAAAAAAGTGTAAAAAAAAATATATATAGCGTGTAAGTGCATGTCGTATGTAAGCATATCAGTTTGTAGATCTTAAGAATGTAAGACAATAGAAATAAAAAAAAAAAAATATATAAACATATATATGTGAACTCACTGCTTAGGCTTAAATATTTAAGAAATGTAAGTAGTGTAAGGAGTACATTTATAACAGTATTTTAAAAGTTAATAAAATAAAGTAAAGCAAAAAAAAAAGGTACGGACTTCGAGTCTGTAGAGTAAACTTATTGAAAAAAAAAAAAAAAAAAAAAAACCTAACCTAACCTAACCTAACCCTCAATGCTAGCTGTGTTTACGGAGGCAAGTGAGGCTAAAGAAGTATCACCAAAAATAATAAGCGTAGACGCTATGGTGGTAGAATACGAGAAAGGGAAGGTAGAAGACTACATGGGAGTATTAAAAGCCTCAGAATATCATGAGGTGGTGGTATACGAAGACAGAGGTGAAGACCTCAGTTTTATGAAACCATTCAGACCCAACGAACCTTCACGCTCGTACCCCAATGACAGCAAAGAACACCCACCCAAAGAACACCAAACGCTTGCAACAAAAAATGGACGCCAAAAGGAGAAAAGAACAAAGCGAACACGAATAATCCCAGCCGGAACAATAGACAAAGTAGCAGCAGTCGCTAGCACCTTCGGTCAAGTCATTGCTGCAATCCCTGCAGTAATCCCGAAGAAAAAGGAATATCTGCGGTCAACAGAGAAGATAGTTGCTGCTGTTAAGAGCGCCGCAAAGTATTTTCCCAAAGGTCAGACAAGAAAATCTCCATGCACATGGACGAAAGCAGACATGGGACAAGTCACTCTGCCGAGTCTCAGGGAGGTATCGGAGCCCCTGGACCACTGGATAAATGCATTCCTCGAGTTTAAAGCTATCGTAAAAGCTACCAGAGAGGTTAACATCATGACCTGTAAGAGCATCTTGGAATCTTTTCATCGAGGCTGTGAAGATCAGCTTGAGGTGAAACTCGAGGAATCCGAGGCTGCTGTGTACAACAACGACACAGCTGAAGTAATTAAAGGGAAAGTGTCGGGAAGGTTGCGATCTCTAGAGCTAAAGAGGTACATGGGTTCACAGATCCCAAAGTCCCTTGAAAATACTTTATACTTGGGACACACCCAGGCTGAAAAGAAAAATCTCATCAGCCAGGGCTACGGAAAAGGGAAGGGATCGCGAACTCTAACCATACATGAAGCTCAGGGGCTCGTGAGCGAGACGGTGGTAATCGTGCGATCTAATAGAGAGAAACAACGCCTATATAACAGTATTCCTCATGCAGTGGTGGCAATCTCGCGCCATACGAGCCATTGCATCTACTACACCGATTGGTGTGAGGAAGATGCAATTGCCTGTTTAATTTTGCGCGCCGAGGCTGCCACCACAAGCAGAATTAGGGATTACAACATGAAAATGGCAATACATCATCGAGACTTAAAGGTTGCAAGAAACATTATGAACGTGGTCCGAGACGAAGCGGCATAAACAACAATCAAACGGATGTTAAATGACATAACCGCAACAATTTTGCTACTATTAAAATTGGAAAATTTTTGTAAATTATAGTTATGTTAGTTATAAATTAAGTATTCAGTATAAGATGTTTAATATCCATAGTTTAAGATGCATGAAAAAAAAAAATAAAAAAAAAAAAAAAAAAAAAAAAAAAGGTCTGGCAAAAAAAATATATGAATTAGTTATAAGTTAGTTATAAGTATGTAGACAAAAGTTTCAAACCATAACTAACCATAGTTTAAGATGCATGAAAAAAAAAGGAGAAAAAAAAACAAAATAAAACAAACCAAAAAAAAAAAGAAAAATAAGAAAAGAAAAAAAATAGAGGCAAAAAAAAAAACAAAAAAAAATTACACTAACCGTTAGATATAAGGCATGATATTATAGTAATCTATGTTAATGAAAAAATGTATATTCAAAAAACGCGGAGAGATGTTATAGCTTAGAAACTACATATGTAATGTCATAACAATTATAAAAAAAATGTAACAAAGGGTACGGACTACGAGTCTGTAGAGTTAAAAAAAAAAAAAAAAAAAAAAAACCTATCTTAACCTAACCCCCCCCTTCCGTCGTCAGACGCACTCTGAGGTGGACGTGCTACATGTTGGTCGAGTGCCGCTCCGCCCGATTTTGTGTTTCAAAAATCGAAAAAAGTGGTTTTTTGTGCTCCGATTTTTATAATTTATGCACCAAAAGTTGTGGGAATAGTTGCCCCAGCTAGTGACAGTTTCTGTTTTTCGCGCAGAGCGCGTTAAGTGTGAAGAAAAACAGTGCAAAGTGCAAATTTTTTAATTTTTAAGAACTTTGAGCGTGAACGCTGCCTAAACGCGATCTGTGACCCCTGGATATTTTTATATCTACAGACGGGGCTCGCTGAGCTCTTTCTTGTGACACCTCGGCCGGATTTTTCCGGTGGAAACGCACGGAGTTATTAAAGAAAAACCGGGAACCACGTGGACACGTGGTCCTGGATCCAGTGGCCCGAGGGCAGCGCAAGGCAGCTCATTTGACGCGGCACGACGCGGCGAGTTCAACGCCGTATCAAACATAATTCTAAGGTTAGTGGTTGCGGAGTTATTAAAATTTTTAAAATTTTCAAAATTCAAAAATTTTTTATCTCGAAATAAAGATCGACGACACCCCCATATTTTTTATTTAGTTTGTAGGGCTCATTAAGCTCTACATATCTTATAAATTTCATAATTTTCGGCTGAATACTTTTGGAGTTACGATTTTTTAAAGTTTAAGGGTTGATACGTGGGGGTGTAAATAACAATTTGATCACTTCGCAACCTATTGTAAAAATTAGACTAAGTAGTGTATAAGTATAATCTTAGCTTTTTTAGAATAAATTTTTATTTGAAATTTTCGAGTTTTTGCCAATTCTTTTGTAAATTTATATGTTTTTTGCACCCCAAAAATCGGGGTTGAAATATTTTTTGTAGATAATTGTAGATTTAGATTGTAGATTAAAAGACGAATCAAACGAGCCCAAGCTCGATAGGATACGACATATAGGAACGGATTTAGTAGAAATCATTAAAATTGGCAGCCATATTGGCGGCCATTTTGAATTGATAAAAAGTTGTATAACTTTTGATCTAGACGTCTTAGAAAGACGCCGTTTCTTGTACATGCTTAGTTGTGGTGAGCTCTACGATTTGTGATAGTTTGTGGCTCTGGATAGAGTCGAGCTCCAGATTGCCAAAAAATTTGGCAGGTTTCAAATAGAGGGCAAAACGCCCGTTACGGGAAGCCGTCGCTCGCGTTTCTGCGATTAGCGGTTCTCGAGATATAATTTTTTGAATTTCGATCTAGACTGAAACCAGACAACCGGCCGCCATCTTGGAAATCTTTAAGGCGTGATATCTCGGAAACCGCTAGTCGTAGAGCGACGCGGTTTTTTCCGTTGACTTTCCCCTGGAAAGCGCTATCGATTGGTGTTAACTGGGCGACTCTATCTAGAGTCACTGTAGAGTTCCACCGTAGAGTCGCGGCGGAAGTCATTTTAGATAGTTTTTAAGTAGTTTTAGGTTGAGTAAGGGCCGTAGGATTCTACGGCACTTGATTTTTGACGGAACACTCTCTATTTTTACCCTATACAACCCGCTATTGCGGTAATTTTATTATTGACATTTTTAGTATAAATTTTGACTATTATTTTGACATTTTATTTTAATTTTATCTATTTTATTAATTGTTGACGCGACCTCCCTGAAAAATGGTTTTGGGACTCCGGACACCGGTCAAGCGGCCGGAAAAAGCGAACCCACCTTCAACTCCCCCCAAGATCGTGAAAAAGCTGCCAAGACAGAGTATGGAGAGGTGGGAGGGGGGCGGCTCCCGGGTCGGCTTGTACGGCTGAACCGGGCGCTCCCTCCACCTCTAAGCGCAAGACGTTAACCCCTGAGCGGGTAGAGAGTCCGAAGGGTGTGGGGGTAGCTCCCGAGTCGGCTTATACGGCTGGACCGGGCGCCCCCTCCACCTCTAAGGAAAAGACGCCGACCCCAAAGCGGGTTGAGAGTCCGAAGGGGGGGGGGTTGAGGTGCTGGTTCACTCACCAGTGGCGACCACCGGGCAGACCAGATTGCAGCGGGCCAAGCACCATTATTTAAAGGCGAAACAGGCAGTGCACTCGTCCAGGAACCTCAGGAGGGATATCAAAGAGACCATCCTGGGGTCCTTAGACGAGCTCAAAAAACTGATTGTTGAGTCCGAAGCCGACCTGAAAGCCGAGAGGGCTCGTAAGGGTGCCGGGGGGCTCCGTGAAGGGGGTGTCGACGACTAAGGACGCCGACACCACATTTACGGTGCCCTCGGACTCCGGACTGAGCATCAAACTCGACGAGCACTCTCGGCTTCTCCTGGAGAGTAATGAGCGGATGAAGGCTCTCCAGGAGCAGCTCACTAGATGCAGCAGGTCGGCCGAGGACCAACAGCGTAGTTACGCCTGCGTGGCTGCTGTGAGACCGCAGCAGCCAGCGAGACCCGCGGCTCTCCACTCGGTTTTTTGACGCGGACCTTCACATAACACAGTACCCGAAACTCACCACGACAAACATCGCAGTGGTGGGGATCCGAGTCCGCAACTGGGAGATCATCCTGGTTTCATTTTACTTTGAGCCCGACCTGCCGATGGACTCATACCTAGCACACCTGCGCCGGGTGCAGCGCGAGACAGGAGCTTGGAGTGTTATAATTGGGGGCGACTCCAATGCCAAGAGCGTCTTGTGGGGGAGTCCCGTGACAGATCGCCGCGGCGAGGAACTGCACGGCTCACTGGAGGACCTCGGGCTCTGCATCCTGAACCGAGGGGAAACCCCTACATTTGACACTATCCGGGGCGGCGTAAGGTACAGCAGTTATGTTGATATAACTGCCGTATCGCCGGACCTGTATAGCTTGGTGGACGACTGGCGCGTGCGCGAGGACCTGACCAGCTCGGACCACAATGGCATATCCTACGCATTAACGACAGGGCACATCAACAAGAATTTCATCAAGCACACCGCAAGAATATATTACACTAAACACGCAAATTGGGCCCAGTTTCGTGAGAAACTGGGTCAAATTATTAATAGAGAAAACTTTACATTAGATTATATTAAAAAGGGGGATGCCCACTGTTCATAGACACTTCGGCCATGGGTGCCCACATATAAAAGCATATGGAAATGATAATATGCAATTAAAATAATGAAATGGTTAAGGAATTGGTTTAAAAAAAGTCGGGATTTTTATGATATAAAGCTTTTTATTTTCACAAATACAGCTTTTTAACGACTACTTTTACCAATTTTATTGCTTTTAATTTCTTTAACTTTTAATTCCCGACGCGTGATTTTTTCTTTTGGAGGCCTATGCCAAAAGGCACACCGAACAGAGGGATTTACTTTAACTAGTATTACAATAGGAACTCAAACACAAATATTATGTAACCCCAAAGTTCGGAAATAAATGGCTATATTATTATTATACTATTATTATTAATTCCTGACGTTTCAGGTGCTTTATAGCACCCATGGTCTCGGGGTACTGAGGTGACTGCCATCCCAATGTCAGTATTGGGACATGGAGTACCTTCAGCTTTTTATTATTATTTTTATAGTCCAATCTAAGCAGATTGAACTTACTCTATCTTTAAGTCTTGCAGTGGTATGCTTGGGGTTTGTTTTAATTTTATTAATTATATTGTCCCAAGAAGGTGGCAGTAACAAACCGCCTTCTCTACTGAAATTAGGATGTTTTTTTAATTTCAGTAGCCTCACATATCATCCTTGGTAGGAATTAATGTTCTTTAACGAGGATTTGTGGTCTATCAAATCTGATGTATGTCTATCTGGTTGGGGTGACACCCTTGACATACGGTAGTACAGCAGGCACACGCTCAACTGCGGTCGGCTTCACTCGGTCACTGTGACGAAGACGTGGGACCCGAAGCTTGATTTTGTGCAGAACCTGCTTGACGTGCTGAAGCTCCGCGGCCAGGTGCTTGTTCTCACAGATCCCATATGCTCTCTGTAACAAAGATTTGCTCATGGTAACTAACTGTGAAGGATTATGGTGAGATTCACCGCTTAAATATCAGTTTGTATGGGTCTTTTTTCTATACACAGTGTGACCTATGATGTTGTTAGGATTTTGGATAACAAAAACATCTAGGAAAGCTAAGAAATTATTTGCCTCAGATATAATATCATAATTACTGAGAGAGAGTGGTAACGATGGATAAAATTCATAGGAACAACATCCTGATTTAATATTTCTTGGGCCATATTCATGAGCCGCTCTAATTTGTTTCTTGGTACTTGCAATAATGCCTATATGCATTCATCACTATCTCCTGTTCTTACTTTTATCAAATATACAGCAAGTGCAAAGCATCCACTATGTTTACTTGACATTTTGGGCACTTCAGACAGAATTTATTGGCATTGTGCCTGTCTGGACTAGCACTGAACTAAATGCCAAAGTGGCTTACGAAGGGATGATTTAATAAAACACTCCACAACGTATGTACTATGGTATATTAACATGAAGTTTAATACACCAAAATAAATGGTATTATTGTGGCCTTATGGTCTAGTAGCATTGCACGTCGACATCGCAATATAATTTTTGTACAGCGCCATCAAGTATTAAAAAGGTGAACTACTATACTTTAACATACCGCCCACCAAGGACAATATTGAAAATATAATTGTCCTTAATTATGAGAAACCGCCCACCGTGAACTCGCTCCTTTATTGTCCTTAATGAGTGTTATTTACAATTTTGTACTGAAATAATAAATGCAACAATTAAATCTTAGGAATAACATATATATAATAAATATATAATAAAATAAAACAATAACAATTTGGCTTAACTTACACTAAGTACTAACAGGTAATATACAAATCTTAGAGGTAGGTCTTTTAACTATTGACGATTTGGTTCGTAACGTAACTACTCGGGTTATTTGATCAGGACCAGGATGTTTTTCGATAATCCGACCAAGTAACCAATGACATGGTGGTAAATCGTTTTCCTTAACTAACACTACATCCCCGATATTAGGTTCTGGTACTTGGTAAGTCCATTTATATCTATGCAACAAGTTTGACAAATATTCCTGTGACCACCGACGCCAGAAATTCTGCGTCATTTTTTGTACAAGTTGCCACCGAGTTAGTGAACTTATATTTGTATGTTCGTAATTATCGTCTGGAATACTTATTAGTGGTTCGCCTATTAAGAAGTGACCAGGTGTTAGAGGCATAGGATCGGATAAATCATTATCATTGATCACAGTCATTGGTCTGGAGTTCAGACAAGCCTCTATCTGATAGAGCAGCGTGCTAAGCTCCTCAAAGGTTAAGGTCGAATCTGTCCACGCTCTAATGTTCTCTCTGGAAATATGCATGGCTTCTGCTACTTCTGCCAATAAACGAGTCAACAACATAGCTCCACATAACTCTAACCGAGGAATGCTTACCTGTTTTATTGGAGCTACTTTGGTCTTCGCCATCAAAAGAGCAACGTGAATATCGCTTTCTGCATCGACTGATCTTATATACACCACAGCCGAGTATGCGGTTGCTGAAGCATCACTGAATCCATGAAGTTCAACACTTCGATCAGTTTGCTTGATTTGAAGCCATCTTGGAATACGAACTTCGGTAAGTTTGGACAACTCACTACGGTAAGTCCTCCATTCATTTAATAAATCTTCAGGAACCTTTTCATCCCATCCTACACCTGAAAGCCATAGCCTTTGTATAAATACTTTTGCTATTATAACGGTAGGTGCTAGCCAACCCAGAGGGTCAAATAGGCGAGCAATTTCTGATATTATGTTCCTTTTAGTTTCAGGTCCAGGTGTTGGAGCGAGCTGTACTGAATATTTAAAGACGTCATCACTACGGTTCCAAGTAAGTCCTAGAATTTTAGTTATATCTAGTTGAATGTTCCTTTCTTCATAGATTTTATTTTCCAGACTGTTTTCTACAAACTTTTCAGGTACGTTCTTATTCCTTGCTCTATCGCGCTTAGTTTCTTCCGCTTCCTGCTTATTTATTGCTCTTAGTAATTCTTGACTATTACTATTCCACTTCTGTAGTTCAAACCCTCCCTTCTTTAATAGATTCTTCATCTGTCTATATAATTCTTTACCTTCTTCGGCTGT